ACCAACTACAGCTACCTGCATACGTCTTCTACGGCACTGCACATCAAGTACACAAAAGAAAGTTATATTTCCTAAGTGACATCATTACTTCAAGGTTATACCATTGGAGACTACTGAGTTTTCGTCTACACGCCCATTCCTGGTTAAGATTAACATAATCCAACTTAACAGATATAGAGGCCACAATCGACAACCTCATCATGAATTGCGTTTGCGCCAGCATGTGTACCATTTCCACCGATCACAAAGAGCATGTTTATTCCTCTTTCCTGAAATTAAGACGGAGTGAATCGTAGATAAAGCCAGCATGATAATTCTGGTGCAAGTAAACTATAGAGCCAGTCAAGAACCTGAATGCAATCCACAATGTCGGAAACTTTAGGTCCTCCACGTGATACGCCTAGCAAGCTTCCACCGGAAAGATGAACATTTTGAACCACTTTCCTGGATAACTGGTAACGAAACATACAACGACTTATCGCTAAATATTAATTCTGTTAAGAAGTATATTTTTCCTAAAAATCAAGACTTTATCCATAATAATTCATGAAAGATTTAAGTCTTTTGCGCTAAACTCTAACCAATACGAGGAGAATCTGCATAGGGAGTAATAAGAAGCAACTTACTGGCATTTCAGCTAAATCATCGCTTGAAAACCCACGGTACCCAAATGGAATTCCCACAATTTGCTTCACACCGTATATCTCAAGGGTGATAACTATCTGCAATCATTAGAAATAAATAGACAATACATCAATGTTGTACATTGAAATAACATGACTGAATTCTACAAAAAGAAGAACACGCAAAAGAACAAAGTATATGTTAAGACCTGTCGAATAACGTCATTAAGACCTGGGCATAGTCCACCACAGGTTATGATTGCTGCTTTCACCTCCTCTGGTTTGAAATATATTTTCTCTCGAGGACCAGCACGATGAACCCTAAACAAGATCAATGACATATTTACAACCTCTAAGGGCAACAAGCTACAAATTTCGAACTAAATTCCTTTATTAAAATCATTTAATCTCGCGCCAGAGTTGAAAATTCTTGGCAAGACTGTAAAACCTCTACAAGTTGATGTTCAATATATCTAAAGACACAATCACTTTCAAGAAGTTAACAAACTCTATTGTTCTGTAAGATTTTATTTTATAAGTAGACATTAAAAACTTTCCGGAGAATTCAATAAAGCCTAATATTTTCTTTTTTGCTTAAAGGATTCTTAGCTCCTTAGTTTTGATAAGAGAAAAGATCCTTAGTATCAGAATGATCGAAGCACAGGTGCAGCTTAGCATTGAGGCTGTGTAGTATGGGCCATATTTACATAAATCATTGCCATGTAACTTGTTCCTACAGAAAATTATAAAGAAGCTTACCATTGCTCTACCCATGTACAATCGGGATCAATGCACTCAGCACCAGCAGAAGTCGGAGAGGAATAATTAATAGTCTGAAAAATAACAGAACTTTGCATGAATGGATTGGCAGGAAATAACTAAAATGCAAGAAAAGAAAAACATGTGTTTGTTTATTTTTTTGAGAAAAAATAAATGTGCTTGTTTATTCATACACAGAGAGTGTTCTGTTTGCTCTTTCGCGACAAAGAATCATCTTGCTACCATAAGGTGCATTGACTCTCAAAGTCAAGTATACAAACAAATTATTGTTTCTCCAGCTTATGTTGTGGCCCCATCTATCCTCACTAAAGAATGTACTCTGAGCTCCGAATCAAAGGGAAACATAGGAAAATGTACTTGCAACTCCAAAATTGGAATTTTGGCTTATGAACTTTCTTCTCTCAATCAAAACTCGTCCATACGAGACATGGAACTCTATTCTGCCTAGAAAGTTTGAAATTGCCATCTATAGAAGATTTCATTTTAACGACTACTATGCGTCAACGCCAAGCTAGTTGGGGATTGCTGCTCCAAAACAATACCTGACTTATTTATCTAATTCAATAGAGAAAAAGGGTTCATAATCCTAGAAGCAAAATTCTCAATATTTACCAAGTTAAACATTACATAAAACCTTAACTAATAAAGAGCGAAACTTTTCCACATCTATCTAGATTGAAGAAATTCCCAAGTATTTGAGATTTCACTGCTGAACGGTACGCATATCTGACAATACATAAAATAAGCTTTATAACGATTCTGAACGAATCCTTTACCCGCAAATCATGTGGGAGTGCAAACTCAAGTGAGAATCTTATTATGTTTTTAGAAGTGAACTTAGTCCATTTGGACATCGAATTCACCAAAAAGTTGCCTTTTGCCACTATAATCAACTGGCAACGGGCAATCAGTGTGTGACAAGCTACGCTAAATTATAAGGAAATAAAGCTTACTTTAAGAAGTACTCTGTCATTGTTATTGATGTATCCGTGCCATTCTTCATCTGAAGGATATCCTTGTGCAAAATCCTCAGTGACTGGAGTTCTGTAACACAATTGTTGCACTAAAGTTAGTAATGTGAGGAATCGATGTTGATTATCATCGAGGTATCTCTTGGCTACCACATTCTTTATCATTTTAAAATTAGATATAATTCCAATTTTCAACTCAACTAGAGTAGCAAACAACTTACCATTATTCTCAATTCTACAAACAAACCAAGCCATTTATACGCCATTTCAATGAAGAAAAATGAGAAAAGATAAATAAGATAACAGAGGTATCGACAATTCACAATAGCAAAATTATAAAAGAAGAAATTGCACAAAAAAAAAATCAATTTTATTGAAAATATGTTCAATTTAACCTTAAAGTTTGTTTTTTTTTTTTTTAATTTTCTGAAAATTCAAATCCATGCATATGACATTTGTTCTAAAAAAGCTCAATACTCCCCTGTCCCAAAATAAGTGTCACTTGAGCCAAAAATTAAAAGTGGAATTCAAGACCGTATGTCAATCTATGCGACACTTTTTTTTTAGTCCGTAACAAAATAATGCATTTTTCTATGTTTGGAAACAATTTAACGTATGCTTTTCTTTTATTCTGTACCAAACCAATGCACGTTTCTATATTCAAAAACAATTTAACTTTAAAATTACTGTTTTACCCCTAATGAAATTATTTATAACGACGCAAATGATCAAGGAATATTTTAAACTACAAATTTCAAGTTTTTACTTTCTTTCCAGCGACAAATCAAAGGGTGTCACATAAATTGACACCGAGTAAATATGTTTTACCAACTATGCTCTTGTATAACTTTCTTCTACTTAATACTCCTCAATTATCGAGAAACATCTAATAAACCGAGGTAATTTAGTAAACTACACCTTCGATATATTATTTTTAGCGTGAAATGAGCTAAGATGATATTTATTATGGAACGACGAATACAATAAACAGTAAAATTAGATAAATTAAAACAGAGTGTTATGTGTAAAATACCTCATTTTGAGACAAAAAGTGGAAGGATACGAAACGGCGTCGGGAAATACATCAGTAATGTGAGGAATATTGAAACGAGCTTCGAATTCTCTCTCATACTTCACTTTCCAATCCGGATCGCTGAAATTGATGTTGTTAGGGACGACGAAATTACTTGATTGAGCTGCAACTCTCATTCTCATTTTCCGGCGAGCTACCGGCGGCATCTTAATCGACTTGACGGAGCTGATGAGTAGCTCATTTTCGCCGGAAATAGTCGTCGACGGTCGAATCGGAGTTGATCCGATCGCCGGCGAAAGCGACTCCATTTGTCAAAGTAAAATGTGTAGAAGTTGGAAGAATAATGTAGAAAAAGTTTCTGCTTGTTTTTGTATAAACAGAGGGGACAAAAAAAGGAAAAAAAGAAAGTTAAACAATGATTTTCCCCTTTATTTTTGGAATATATTTCCATTTTTGAGTGTAGTTTAATACTAAGTTTATAGCCTTCCAAAAAGTGGTTTTTTAAGTGGCTTTTCGGTGAACGAGTTGAGGGAAGGGAGACTGAAATGTTTAAACATGTGAAGAGGAGATTTACGAATGTTTTAGTAAGGAGGTGTGAGAGGTGAATATTTTGGGGTCGAAGAGAGGTAGAGGTAGGTTGAAGAAGTATTGGAGAAAGGTAAGGTGTGAGAGGTTGAATATTTTGGGGTCGAAGAGAGGTAGAGATAGGTGGAAGAAATATTGGAGAAAAGTGATTAGACAGAACATGAGGTTAGCTAGGAGGGTATGAAGGCCAACAAATAAGTGTAGAAGGTTAGTAGGTAGTTGAGAGATGTCGTATTTTTTTTATTTTTTTTATGTATTTGGTTTGGTAGTAATATAGAGTACCGTGTCAAGTGTAGTATTAGCCTATTCATGTAATCAGTGGATTTTGATATTTGACGTCATATGTGGTTTACTATGTTTAGGTGACTACGCCTTATTGTTGTTAGGGTACCTTGCATATATGTTACACATTGCTTATGCTATTAGTTGTCATATTTTTCTCCACTATCGTTTTTTTTTTAATTACTATTTTGATTTGTTTAAGTCAAGGATCCTTCGAAAATAACCTCACCTTAAAGAAATAATAGTAAGACTTGCGTGTAATCTATCCTCACATTAATGATGTTTTTTATGATATCGCGACAAAAAGACAAACAATATTATTAGAGATCGATTTAAGATTTAAAGGTTGAAGGTGCATCATTATCTTCAACCTTTTAGGGCTTGTTTAGCAAGACACATGAGATTTTGAATTTGAGTACAATTGTGAGTAGTTATACCGTTGTGACACTTAGGTATAATTACATCATCAAACCGCGACTTTCTTCATTCACTTTTACTAGTCATGTTTCACTTTTCGAGAGTCAAACTGTATGAACATTGATTAACATTTTATAATGTATTTTTTTCCTTCATATTAATATGAGAATGGATTGCAGCTTATAATATTATTCATATAGTATTCAAACATCTAATTTTTAAATAAATCTAATTCAATTTAACTTTGAACATTAGTCAAATTGACTCTAGCAAAGCGAAACATAACAAGTAAAAGTGAATGGAGAGAGTAGTTAATATGATAAAAGATGTATATATGTAAATATATAAGTGCCTCAAGATGTTCTATGCATTGTTAAACTACTAATTTAAGTTCATCAATGCAAAACAACTCAAACCAGAAACATAATCCGTTGTTGCCAAGAAATCTGAGTTGGTATAAATAAACCTTCAGAATCTTCTGCAATGGCAACCAGATGTATGAAGGTGACATTTTTGGCATCGCGAAGCACGCCATCATCTCATAAAACACGCCTCACAGGACCTGCAATGTGTGTGCTTGTAGGGCGTCTTGCAGGCACTTCACAGCACCAGTGTAATTTAGAAATCCCATAAACCAAAATTCATGGTTGTCAATAGAGATAACTTGGATGTACTTTTCTAACGAATTGGTTATGCTCAACGAAGGATAAATTGCTTTAAGCTGATGCAACGGGATAATTACCTGCTCATATCAATAGTAACAAACGGAAATGTTAAAAGACGGTTCCTCAAATGACAATGTATGTAATGAATGATGCATAAGTATCCAAAAAGAACAAGAAATCAGATCTACGAGTAAGTAAAACAGGTAGGAAGGTATTGTCATTTGCCAAGAGAGGAAGTGGAAGTGACTTAGGAACTTCCTTTTGAGTAGAGGTAAAAATGCAAATGAGCAGTTTATAAGGAATGAGTTACATTTGAAGCAAACGATTGAACATCTTTAGGAATCTAAAGTAAATAACCGCGGGAGACTGATAAATAAACAGAGATGTACCTTGTAATAGCTCCATTCAGTCTTGTTTTCGTTTGTGTAGGGAAGGGGGTTATCGCTACAAAATGCAAGCTTTGCAGTAGATAAATATAACACTCCCATTACTGGTCCAGCTGAGGTCGATAAATAACATGCAAATGAATTCCGAAGTTGCTCCTCAGGATCTGCCTCAAATGTTTGGCGGAATATCTTGTCATAACCACCTTCAGCTAGAACCTTTGTTCCCTGAGCAATTCTTCCTAAGGCAGCATCAGCAATACTAGGGCTCGTTTTCACTATACAAGTCAACGAAAGAAAATTAAAGTTATTGCATCTGCAAAGGTAGGGGGGTAAGGTCTACGTACATCCCATCGTCCCAGACAATGGCCATGGGAGTTAGCACTTCTAATTCTCATAATTCCTTGAATACAATGTCCATGTACGCAAAAGAGAAACCGGGAAAAGCTCAAAATAAAATTAAAGAAGAAGAAGAAGAAGCCTTACAGTGTTGCCATGTATTGCCAGCAATATCCTCTGCCTTCTTTGTTGCTTCACCAACCTTCTTTCCCCATCTACCAAGTACATCTTTGACACTCTCCATTTTATCTAACAGACGAAAATTATATCCTCACAGTTAGTGGCAGATGCAGTCGGTGACGGAGCCAGAAATTTTATCAAGGTGATTAAAAAATATGAAGAAGTAAATACATGAAGAAGTCAAGCCGCACCCTTACTGCTAGGGTTGGGCTCGACCTCCAAACTGTACGCGGGACGGGTTTTTGCCTCACACAGCTTGAGCCGAAGATTGAAAAGTTTAGAAGAGATAGGGAAACCTAGCAGCTGCCAGTCGGGGCGGGGTTAAGTTTGCTTCTTCACAAGCCTATCCTCAAAAAAACGACTCTACAGCCCTAGAGTTTCGCGTTCTTTCTATTCCATCCCATTCTATTTTAGGATAAGCAGCTAATGCTAAAATAATAAGTGAAGTAGTAGTTGTCTGACCAATGGCTAGGACACTAGATCGCCCGTGCCTGCTCATTTTGTCTCGCCCTAAATGGAATGACTCTCTCAGTTATGCTGCGCCCCGACCCGAGCCCCTATGTCCGCTTTTCTCCTCCCGCAACCCAATAAGTTGGCAAAGCCAATACAACGTACTATATATAATTTTAACCTTGCTTATGATGCAACAAATAGACATGGAGTTCATTTGAACTCTATCTACTTTTTAACGCGCAACATAAATTTATGTATAAAAATTCACTAAGATAGCAACAAATAGTAGGTATCAACCCATTGCTTTAAAAAACTTAAAAAGATTGAACTCATAAAATTTAAATCTTCGACCTGTTCTCAATATGTATAATTCATTTACGTGTATGTATACGTGTATATATATATAGAGAGAGAGAGTGTGTGAAAAAGATACTAACTTTTGATATTGACGGAAGCAGAATTGTTGGCCGGAGCCGGAGAATGAGCTAAGTAAGGATTCGATCCCTGGTTACCGGTTTTTCTCTGCACCGACGACTCCGTCACCAATTCCTGGCTCCAATGCACCGATTTCTTCGATTTATTCAAACCGTTCGCCGATTTGATACCTTCATTTTCGATTTTACCAATTTGATTCTCATTTACAGAGGCAATTGTAATAGTATAGTCCTGTTGCACACATTGCGGATCCGGTTTCGGACCTTGATCCGGATTCACACCGGAGCTGCTCTTATGCTCCGCCGGCGTCGCCGCCGCTGCGTTCTCTTCCCCACCACCGGCGTTTGGCTGTTTCGTCATCTTCGCCAACGAGAGAAAAAGATGTAGAAGTGTCTACAATGCGAATTACTCTCTACTGTGATAAGGCGGCGAGTCGGAACCTTTGGCCGGTTGTGGAATTTTCCGATTAGGTTCCGATCAAGCCGGGAGAAAGAAAGAGAGAGACCGGCGATTTAACGCGGGAAGATACTATACGAGGGTCCGTATTCGGACGTCTGATTTGTCAAAAGCCTAATTTTCTCTTTTATGTATTTGTATTTTTTTTTAAATCTAGTTTCTAAAAACGTGTGTTTGTGCATTTATCTTAAAATATTTAATACAATATTTTTATTACAAATGATACATACATATTATTAAACTTCGGCTATGCTATAAAATAAAGGGAGGAAAGTCAAAACACACATAAAGTAACCATTTATAAGTTGAGGTTAGAAAATCTTACAAATTTGATGTTATTTAAGTGATATACTTAACTTTAAAGATAAAGATTTACTATAATAAAAGTATTTATCTCCTAAGTTAACCATCATACCTGAAAAATAAAAACTAAACTGTTATCTATATTGAATCGCATCATGATCAATCCAAATATGATTTAAAGTTGCAAAACCTTGCTTCGACTCAAACACATAAGTATTAAAAAAGTAAAAAAGAAAAAGAAAAAAGAAAGACGAATAAATGATAAGTGCTTATAAAAATTGTGGAGAAGAAAACTTAAGAACTCATCAATATTTTTACTAAATGAATAGTAGAAAAAAGTTATTTATAATGAGATGTTAACAGTAATAGAATAAATTCAATTTATTGCGCGATATTTTAATTTGTAGAAAAGACTCAATTTATCATGAGATATTTAAACAAAAATATTGTAGAAATGAGTTTGAGGACGCTTGTATCACATTGAATATAAATGGACCCTTGAATAAACTGCATATTAAAAAAAATACAAACGATATTATTAAGATAAATGCAGATTAGACAATATTATCGAGGAATGATCTCATCCAATGAAACCTATAAATAATAGCACATATAATATATAAATTCTTGCATTATATTATTGTATGAAAGAATGAAAATATGTATAGGAGTACCTTTAGTATTGTGTGTGTTACGCTTAAGGCTGGGCACCGGAACGGGTTGTACCGGTACCATTCCGGTCCGTTCCGGTCCGGTAGTATTCGGGACGGGATGGGATACATTGAACCGGTACATGGAACGGAACGGTACCATGATTTGGTACCGGTATACCGGTACCGGTTCATCCCGGTTCATTCCGGTTCCGTTCCGGTCCGGTCCGGTCCCGGTAAATCATTTTTAATTAAAATAAAAAATAATATTTTTGTCATTATTTACTTTTATTAGCATTTCTTTTTTGTTTATTTAATTTTTTTTAAATTACAAACTTAAGTTATTTAACTTACAAATTATAAGTATAACTTAATAACTTATAAACTTCAAAAGATTCAAATCTTTAAAACTTATAACATAACTACATAAGCTCAAAAACTAAAAAAAAACTTTATTAAACTTAACTTACAACTTATATATGTAAAAATTAAAAAAAAAAATCTTTAAAATAAACTTAAGTAAAATTATTATAAATTTTAAAACTTAAATACTATAAACTAATATAACTTAGAAAAATAAAAAAAACATTCGAATTTTCGTAATTTAAAATTACTCAAAAAAATAATTATTTTTTGAAATAGCTATATGTGCCATCCCGTTTATCCCGTTCCGTTCCGTTCCGGTCCATTCCGGTCCGTCCCGGTTCTATCCCGGTATATAGTGGGACGGGACGGAACTGAGCCTCCATCCCGGTAATTCCGGTCCGGTTCATCCCGGTACCGGTCAACAACCAGGTCAAACCGTCCCGTTCCGGTCCGGTACCGGTTCATTCCGGTCCGGTACCGGTTCGTTCCGGTCCGGTGGTCCCATTCCGGTCCGGTGCCCAGTCTACTTACGCTTCTATTAGTCGAAAAGTCAGAAATTTTATTTAAAATATTTAAAGTATAAAATAATAAATACGTTAAAAAAAAGCTAAGAAAATTTTACATTTTACTACCTGCATACATAATTCAATTTTTTTACGAAAAAATTCAAATGAGCCCACTTGCATTCACTTAACTCCGTCCCAACTTCTATCAATAGTGAATAGAAGGCCAAAATCAGAATCTTAGTGGCTTTGTTAATCTTCACTACAATTTCACATTTTTGATTGCCAAGGCTAAAAAGGACAAAAAATAATAATAATTAGTATTATCTTCCTTGCGTGCTTTTAATTCAAAAGGAAGGATATACGTTAAAATAAAAAGTTTCCAAACGATCCCACTCTATCAAAAACCTTTTCACCCTTTTTAACGTTTCACAAAAGTTATTATTTTACGTTTAGCTAGCATGAAAAAGGTTATTCCTACTAGAAATAGTAGAATTATTTTAAAGTATTACAACATAAACAATTATATATGTAATGAAGGACAAACCCTTTCCTCAAAAATTAAAAATTGCAACTACGAAAATCACAACACAAATAAAAATAACAATTAAGAAAAGACTTGAACGAGACGGAGCAAGACAGGACAAAATTAATTTTGCTAGAAATTGAATAGGCCAAGGCAGGTGGTGAATTTTGGAAACAGAAGTTTTGATAATATTGAAAGAAACAATAGTAATATCTTCGTTCACTTTTACTTGTTGATTTTGAATTTTGTATCTTTAAAATAAAATAAAATAAATATGAATATTTTACTATAATATTCATTTAATTAATATATAGTCTTAGGTCTATAAATAATTAATATTAAGAATAAAATATTTTTAAAATAATATTTTTCTCTTAATAATCTATAAATGACGAGTAAAACTAAAAATATATATTTTAAATTTATTTAACAAACAAAAATGAACAAAAAAGTAACATTTATTAATAGAGAAGAAAAGGAAGTAAATACCTGAGAAAAAAAAAATGAAACAAGATATAAACGAACACTTTTTTTTCATTCATTCTATCGAAGAAAATCATAAGAAGGAAGAATAAGGTTTTTAAGAAAGAAGAGTATGATTAATTTTTATTTTGTTTGCTACTAATAAAGGGTTCAATACATGCATTTTGTGTTTCTTGTAAATAATTGTTTTGGTGGAGATATCAAAGTGAAAAATCACGATAGTGTAAGAAATTATTTATATATTTGTCGTACTGTATAAAGACGAATCATTGAAAATTTGAGAGTATTATTTGTTCTTTTGAAATACAAGATAAAATTAAAGTGGAAAGGGTTAAAAATGTCTTTTACTTTCGTCTTTATTAAATTTGTCTCCAAATTTCCTCCTTTGTAATCAAAATATGCAAAAATACCCCCTAAAATAGACGGAATCCCCCAAATTAACTCTCAATATCGGATTTCAATTACATTATTCGTTCCCCCATTTAATTCGATCCAATCACACTCTGTAATTATTCCTGAACACTATAAATATTTTAATTATGACACAAATAAAGAGGAGATTATGTTTTGAGACATAAATAACAATAAAATAGTTAATCGATAGTCTTGATTAAATGTAACAAGTATTTTGAGACGAAGAAAATACTATAGGTAAATAAGAATACCTTAAATAACGACAAAAGAAATATAATCAACAAAGAAATATTAGAAAACAAAATAACATTTGAGAATAATTTATACTGTCGATAAACTCGTGCCCTGTTTCAAAGTTGTTGAAATTTTTTCAATAAATCCAAGCATTATTTCAACGTTTCTATCATCTGCAAAAATAAAATAAAGGTATAATAATCAATTCTAGTATTAAAAAAATTCAACATTTTTTTCCATGTGAAATTATATGAAAACTCATACTTCAATTTTCAAATTCATTTTTTTGAATTTATGACAATAAAATTCATGTTGAAAGTTAATGAGTCTTATTCCAAAATTTATAGATTCGAAATTTCATAAAAAAACCGCTTACTAGGTTCTGAATTATTTATTTATACATTTTAACTGGATTTATAAATAGAAATTCAGAGTTTAAGTTTAAGCTACTAAATTCTGTTGAACTTGTAATCAGAACTCTAGCTCCGCTTTTGACTCTAGGAGTTACTTCAAAAATATGTTTTAGTTGATATTTGGTTAAATAAGAATTACATTTATATTCTAAACAAAAACTAGACCATAAAATTTAAAAAATAAATAAATTTCTCACCTAGTTTAGGTATGGTATGTCCTTTAGAATGATGAATCACTTGTTGATCCACAAAACACTCTAGCAGAATTTCACCTTCTTTTCTCTGGAAATCTGCCTCCCCTTCAAAAACAAAGATAAATGCATTTATACTAATTGTATTGAAGAAGGGGAGCTTAGAGCCACGATAAAGTTATTTTCGTGTCCACTACTAATATGGAGGCTCGATTAAATACAGACTCATGTGTCACGTTTGAGAGTTTCATACCAAGGATCAATCGTTCCTTAACAAAGACAACTCTGTATCCAGCAAAACCCGAATGTCCTTAAGAGCTCTAGTTAAGAATGAAGGAGTACTTACCGCTGCACCATTAACTGTAAAGATATGACACCTGAGCCTAACTCAACCCCAAAAGTTAGCTCATGAGGGGAGGATTTCCCAAGTCCATATAAAGAGACCACCAGTTCATTTCCCAACCAATGTGAGACTTTTACCCACTCTAACACTCCCATTCACGCCCAGACCCGACTGGAGTGTGGACCGAGAGCCCAAACAGGGATGACCCTGTGATACCATGTAAAAATATGACACATGAGCCTAACTTAACCCTAAATGCTAGCTTGTGATGGGAGATTGCCCAATTCCATATAAGGAAACCACCAATCAATTCCCCAACCAATGCGAGACTTTTACCCACTCTAACAGTAACAACATAAAAGATATAATAATGTGATAAAAGTACCTAAGAAGTGAAGGGATGGACAGTTAATAGTAGATGAAAATGCATTTGCAGCCAATTTTGGTATCCCATAAATTGGTCCTCCAAATTTAGCTCCTGATATTATTATCACAAACTTTATTTTTGGAACTTTTGTTAGAGCCACTCCATCCCTTTGCATGCCTGGAATTGCTGCACCTAAAACAGCTCCCTATTTCCACCACACACACACAAAAAAAAACACAGATAAAATGTTAGAGGACAGTTAAGGAAAAGGAAGATCGGTTGTACTATCTAACTAAGCATATTGAACCTTCGATTAGTTGAAGACGTAGTCCAAATTTCATCCTTCTACTTGTGAGACTTATCAAATTTGCTGAATTACAAGTCGTTACACTATTTAATTGACTATGTATGTGCAATGTTTAAGTGTCTATTTATACTAAATTACGAATTCACTAGTAGCAAGAGGGACTAAAAACTATTATTATCCTTTAGAAATAACATAAGTAATCTTTGTGAGATCGTTTTCTCATATTCAAATTATAACTGATCGTAAGAGATTATTTTTTCTCGTTTACTATGAGAGAAAAGGAAACAACCAAAATGGAACTTGAGTAAATCTTACCTGTGAGAAACCAAGAACACCATCAAAAGGTCCATTCTTTAACATAAAATCTTCTATATACTCTAGGCATTCTTCAAAATTGTAAAATTCTGTGAAATCCTACAAGAAAAATACACTAAACTCATTTGGCCTTGATATTCAAAAAATAATGTAACTAATACACCAATTTATTTATAGTCATGAAATGTAAGTTTATAATTATAAAAAATAATGAGTCAAAGTTGGACAAATTGTGTAATTACTTCATACAAGATTGAACAATAACTCATTTATTGATTCAACCCATACAAATTCACCTCGAAGGAAAAGAAGAAAATTACACTTTTGCCCTTCAAACAAACTTATCGATAATTTTTACCCTTCAAATGAACTATTTCTCATTTTTTTCCCCTTAGCAATACAACTTGTGCGGAACATAAATTCTTTTTAAGAAAATATGGTATAACAATACTGCTTGTGAAATATTATGATATAAAATTAGGTACTTTCCTTTTAGGCCGATGACCTGGTTCGTAGCCACATGTTCTAATCCTGTGAGCTACCCAACCCACTCATTTGCTATTAACCTGGTTCGTAGCCACATGTTCTAATCCTGTGAGCTATCCAACTCGTTCATTTGATACCTCTTTTTAGTCCGTTCGACTAAAAATAAAACAATTTTTTTTTGAAAAAATCTTAGTCTAAATAAGAGTAAATTACCTTATTTGATTGAAACCATTCAAAGTAAGGAGGATCGAAAAAACCTTCAAGTGGAGATTTCCCCTGAGCTGGAAAAGGTCCATCCAAAAAAACCAAATCCAATTTTCCGATGACGGATTCCGGCCACCGGAAAATCAATTTCTTGAGAATTTCAGCACTTCCTCTAAAGCCATGAAGACACAGAATTCTTAATTTTTTTTTCTCTATCTCTTTTTCCATAATATTAATTTTTCTTATGCAAAAATGTAAGACCCACTAAGGAGCACACATATATAAATATTTATTTATTTATGGCTAAAAGTTTGACACGTTGTCCCCATGATTCAGCCATAATTGACCATTTTATAATGTTGTTGGCTGTGTATTTATTTTATTTTATTTTCAGAAACATACAAATGAAATTATTAGTTTTTGGATATGAATTTTTTGATATTTAAAGGGGAAAAATGTGTGGTTGCGACTTAATGATTAATGAATCAGTGAAAATATAAAGTTTTAGGTTCAAATTTTAGCAGTTATAAAAAAAGTAATTAGGTGATTTATTCTGATTTGTCTTAGTTTTGGTAGATAAAGTTATAAGGGTGTGATCTAATGGTCAATGAAGTGGATTGAGTATCATAATATCTCGTATTCAAATCTCATCATAGGCAAAAACATAAGGTGATTTGCGAACATGGCCAAGGGCCAGCGATCGCAAAGAACAAATAGTGTTGCTTGCCATCAATGTTATAAATATCTCATGAAATTAGTTGAGGTACATGCTAACTGATCTGAATATTACAATTATTTAAAAACACAAGTTAGAAAATTAGATTAAAAATTAAAAATACATAAATTTATGATTTTTTTTTAGCCTCTAACTAAAATTTCGCTCTGGGCTTCCAATTATATTGATGTGCCCCTGCTACAAAATTTTGGAATGTCTTTTCAATAAACCCAAGTATTATTTCAGCGGTACTATCATCTGCAAAAAAATAAAAAAAAATAAAGTCATAGTTAAAGCCTATTTATTTTCATTAATACTAAGACTTAAGAATCTTAATTAATGCATATATGAATACTAATTAAGATGTTATCTTAAGTGAGATCATAATTTTCATTTATAAATTTTATAACTTTTTTCCATGTGAAATTATATAAAAATTCAAATTTCAACTTACAAATACATTTTTCGAGTTTATGAAGATAAAAAAAAATCATGTTAGAAGTCAATGACCAGGACTTCAATTAGCTAGGTGGATTCAATATTTTGAGCTTTTAGGTTAGATTTTTTTTTAATTATTCAGTTTGAATACGTTATCTACCTATTTTAAGTAAAAATAAATTAAAAAATATATAAACTTTAAGTCTAAGTTACTAGATTATGCCAAATGTGTAATCAAAACTCTAATCCTACCCCTGCTAAACATGTAACTAGAATTCTAATCCTAGCCCTGTTAAATTTGTAACTAGAACTCTAATTCTAACCCTGTCAAATCTGTAACTAGAACTCTAATCCTACCCCTTAACTAGTGGAGTTACTTTCAAAATGATGTTTTAGTTCATTTTTTATTTTTATTTTGTAAATATTGATTTAAGTAAGAATTACATTCATATTATAAACCAAGAAATTTACCATAAAATTTCAAAAACAAAATTACTGACCTAGTTCTGGTATGACGTGTCCTTTAGGATGGTGAATCACTCGTGGATCCACAAAACACTCTAGTAGAACTTCTCCATCTTTTTTTTGGTAATCCTTTTCTCCTTAAGAATGAAAAATAATCATTTAACACCAATTTAATTGGATAATTGAAATGTTCAATAATAAATAGTAGAAAGCTTGAAATAAATTAAAAACATAATTATATAAAAAATAATAATTAAAAAAAAGATCAGAATAACTCCCTTTGTCCCTTATTACTTGTTTAATTTTCCTTTTTTACTTGTCCGGCCAATCTAACAAATCAAGAAAGAACAATTTTTTTTTACCTATTAGATCCTCAATTAATTACTTTGAAAATGGTAGAACTTCTTGAAAATCTTAAATTTTTAATTCATCAACTTCATAATTAATAGAGGTAAAATGGTAAACTCGTTATTTCAATTATTGTTTTCTTAATAGATGTGTCAATTCAAAAATAGACAAGTAATTAGGGACAGACGGAGTATATTTCTTAATCAGCTTCTCTCGTTCACACACATTTTTTTTAAAACAAAATAATAAAAAGAGAAGATAATATGAAAGTACCTAAGAAGTGAAGTGATGGACAATTGATTGGAGATGAAAATGCATTGATAGCCAATTTTGGTACCCCAAATGAAGGCCCTCCAAATTTAGCCCCTGATATTAATATCACAAATTTTATTTTTGGAACTTTTTTTAGAGCCACTCCTTCCCTTTGCATTCCTGGTATTGCTGCACATAAAATAGCTCCCTATTTCCAACAAAAAAAATAAAATTACTTTTATAAAATCATTTTCTTTTATTATAATTATAATTGATCATAAGAGATTACTTTCTCATTATCGCGAGAGAAAAGAAAATAGTACTTATAACATTAAAAATATTTTACCATTGAGAAACCAAGAATACCATCAAAAGGTCCATGCTTTGACATAAAATCTTCTATATATTCAAGGCATTCTTCAAAATTGTAAAACTCTGTGAAATCCTACAAGAAAGTACACAATTTATAGAAAAAAAATATTTTCTCTAGAAATAAAAAACATGTTTTTCCAATATCAACAATAATTTTGGTAGTATGATAAGTACTTATTCATCTTTAATTAAGAGTTTTGTATTCAAGTCTTGTTTGGATACAAAGTTATCTTTATTAGTGTGCTTTTACATTTTAATGTAAAATTTCTTACGCAGATTCAAATTTAATTGGATCTTAATATAAATATCAAACACTAGATAAGATCGAACAATAAAATGACTATCCCAATAAAAATATAAAAAAATAAATTTCAGGAAAAATATTTTTTATAGAGAATATTTTCTTTCATATCAAACACACCAAAATTTGGATCTTGATTTATTCTACATTGGTCATTTTGACTCTGACGAAAAAATTGAACAAATATGATTATAAATAGTAGTGAATAATCAAGGATGAAATGAACAATAAAATAGTACGATAAGATAAATAAGATCACTTTATCGATCCTTCATTAAATATCTCATTTAAGCCCTCGCAACGAGAAAAATCTCATGTCAGGGAGTGTTTTCCTTCGAATAGATCGAATCGTTGAAATTAAATGAAGCAAGTATAAATACCTTATTAAATCGAAACCATTCAAAGTAAGGAGGATCAAAGAAACCTTCAGGTCGAGATTTGCCCTTAGCCGGAAAAGGTGCATCCAAGAAAACCAAATCTAATTTTCCGGTGACGGATTCCGGCCACCGGAGAATCAATTTCTTGAGTATTTCAGCACTTTCTCTATAGCCATGGAGACATAGAATTCTTGGTTTTCTCTTTGATTCTTTTTCCATACTATTTCTTTTTTTTTCTTCTCAAAAAATGGTAGGTACATAAGCACATATGCCTAAGATTCTTTAAAAATTGTTTTTTTTTTTTAAAAGTAAAATACATGTCCGAACATAGTATCAAATTATATAACTCATAATTAAAATATTTCTTGATCATGAAATTTTTTCACTTTTACTCCAGAGTTTAATTTTAAAAGAAAAAACATAATTGATCATAAAATTTTGGAATTTAAACTGAGATTGAATTTCATTTCAGAATTTTCAAGAATTTCAAAAATAACAAAAACTCTGAGTTATTTCATAGAAAGTCAAAAACAATTACAATTTGTATTTGTGGCTAAACACAACTCCAATATTCAAATATTATTTTTCAATCTAGAAATAAAATTATTATTTTTCTTCAAATTTTACAATAAAATATGCATAATCAAACGTCCACTAAAAATTTTTAAATTCAAATTAAAAATTTATGGACATATTGGCTGAATTGTCACGTGTTCTCTGTTATTCAGACTAAATTGACCATAGTGTTAAATAAAATATCTTGAAATTTGTTAATTTTATCTTTTGTTGTGTTTTTTGTTCAAAATGGTCATTATTGTTATTTAACTAGTGCAAAAATATCATTCAAAAGGATTAGACAGAGTTGCTTGTGAGGTAAATATCCTCCACCTTTAATTTTAAGGTTATGAGTTTGAGTTATTGAGAGAGAAAAAAAACTAGTGAAATAGTTCAAAAATAAATTGGCATTATAATAAAAATTATTTTTAGCAGTAACTAATTAATGATTATAGCTTAATTACCTTTAACTATGTATATTTAGCGGCAATTAGCACTACGATATTGAATTTAATGGCAATTAACTAATGCCAGAGAATCTTTTATCATTCTTTATATATTAATGTGTATATTTATTGCCACTAAAAGTTGATTTTGTTATAGCATGGTTACTTTTGATTGCTCCAAAACAAAAGAAAAATGATCAATTTTACTACTGAACAATTCATAATGAGACAATTTAACAAAATCCATACAATTCGAGATGCATTTCAAAGGAATATATTATTTTTTATATTGGCGTGTGAGCCAGGATATAGAACAAAATAACCTTCAAAAATCCTAACTGAAATCGAAAACATCTTACAACAAAATTTTAATGTCTACACATATCAATATACCTATTATAGGATAATAAGCCATTTATTATCGAGTCATTCTCAACTTTTAAAGTTCAAACATAAAATCTCTACTTATACATAATTAACTATAGTGTTTAGAACAATTCCATCACAATATGCCCTTAATCAACAAAGAAAAAAGTCTGAATAAAATAAAAATATTTGAAAATAATTTATATTAATAGAGTATTCTCCTTCCAGGATCAAAGTTGTTGAACTTTTTCAATAAACCCAAGCATTATTTCAAGGTTGCTACCATCTGCAAAGATAAAATGTTTTAGTTCTATTTTATTTTATTTTTTAAAATTTTAGTTTAAGTAAGAATTAAATTCATATTCTAACCTAAAAAAAAATACTCACCTAGTTTAGGTATGGTATGTCCTTCAGGATGGTGAATTACTCATGGATCCACAAAACACTCTAGTAGAATTTCACCATCTTAACCAACATGGGTTGTGTGGTACACTGGTGGGAGTGATTCACCCTTAATCAGAGGTCTCGGGTTCGAGCCCTGGGTACGGAGAAAATTCTGTTGGAAGCATCACCCCCGAATGGGCCCTGCAGAGCGCGTTCCAGATTTAGTCGTAACTCCAATGTGGGCTTCGGACACCGGGTGGAAAACCAAAAAAAAAGAAAGAATTTCACCATCTTTTCTTTGGAAAGTCTGTTTCTCTTTTAAAGAAAATGAAAAAAAATATAAATAAAATATTATTTTTTCCGAATAATTATCAATTATTTATCAAGAACTATAAGACAACTTAATTAGCCATGATATTTCGTCCACACACTACAAAAAAACTGCCAATTAGTTGGGATTAAAAAAAATTCATTTTCGTTTTGTGGGGGACGTAACCTCCAATTCTTTCGACTAAAATGTATATAATTAGATTACAACTAACATGAATTTTAATACATTCTTTTAATCACTAAACTTATACATTCAGAATAATAATAATAATTTTAATACATTATTCTAATCACTAAACTTATACACTTAATTGCTTTATTTAATAGTTTTAAAAAATAAAAATAGTTGACAACTTTGTTGTTTTTATTATTAAGATAAATATATAATTTAAATGGATCTCAACCATAAATTATTATATAGTACTTGACCTAATTAAATTTGATCGAATCTTCATCCCATGTGAAGTCTATGTATAGTTGTCACATGGTTTCTTTAAAACCGACTCAGATTCATGATCATTTAAAATTTAGAGTTCCTATAAATATGATACTATAGTAATTAAATTTACAATCAAATATTTATAATATTTAGTGAATATTTCAATATGTATGTAAATTTTAAACAAAAATTATTGAGTTCTCGAGAACCTGCACACAATATGCTGAATCTGCTCATGTTTTAAACACTATCCATAATTCAACTAAAATGGACAATTTTTTTATTTTTTTAAATTAATCGAACATGAAAAAATTACTCCTTATGATCGAACTCAGCCAAAGTGTTTTATTATATAGTACATCACAAGGTTTTACATGAGCCAAGGCTATAGATACAATTTTGCAACAATTGACAAGGTAACATAAGGTACATAAACAAACAAACCATATATAACATGATTTTTTTTTTTAACAAATTTCTCCAATTATGTGACCATATATATACCACCCACCACATATTTTTTACAACCATCTTTTTTTTCCCTTCACATAATTAAAAGCTAAGCTTTGTTTCTAAAATGATTGAGGGCAAATTGGGCATCACATTTAGCCCCAGCAGTAAATGTTTTAAGGAACTCTGGATAAGTAAAGGCTCTAAACTCCGGTTCAGTGCGAATCAAAAGAGTGGCTGGTTTTATTAAAGACTTGGGTGACGGACCGAGAAATACACCAATTGTGGTTCGAACCTCTTTTGCGTGTGTCACCACACGATGAACCGGAGTTATGAACCTGTCATTGCTTATTACCTGCAAAGAATTATCATATGTTATGAGGAAAATTGACTACTTAAAAAAAAGCATGGAAAACAAGTTTCATATCTACATGTTGATTCGCGCCCCCCACACCCTACTCATTCGGTATTTGTTCTATTCATTGTCTTTTTCTCGGTCACTCGACCCCCCCCCCCCCCCATCAATCCCCTACACTTCGACCCCTCGCCTACCTCTCATATCAAGCACCCCTAACTCCCCTACTTCTCATACCCTCCACCCCTATCCCACCCCATCATACCTCTACCTTTATAGTGTTTGCCCAAATTATATATAAATCCTCTTCTGATCATAATATTTTTTGTGTACATGTCAAACGTAAAAAAAAATAAGAAAGAAAATCACTTATTTTGTTGAAAACCATTTTTCTTCCTACCAAACACACCCTTAATCCTCTTATGTTTGTTCATTGAGAAATGTAATTGACCTCCTAAAAGATCCAATCACTACTAGGAATAAAGATTTTTTCCACCGTAAATTAATAGAAAATTTGTGTTATAAAACATGATTTTTCCAGTCATTTCCCATTGAGCCAACTGATTGAGAAAATGAATGGATCGGAGGAAAGCTTCCTAATTTTTTTCGTATGAAATCATTACTATTTTTATTTTTTCTCCTCACCGATTCAATCAGAATATCTATGAAAATAGCCACTGAACACTTTTCAATAGTAATTTTTTAGTAATGAACCTTTAATATTATACAAGTAACACTAGGAAGTACCTTCAATTGTAGACCAGGAATAACAACTATAGCATGAGGAATAGGTTGAACACCAATCCATTTGCCATCCTTAAGTATTTGAAGTCCAGGAACATCACATTGTTGAAGCAATGTTATGAGATTTGGATCAGAATGTACTGGCATTCCTAGTGTCAAACTTGGATTTGGACATGGAATATGATGATTCACAGAAATCACATTTGTTTTACTTACTTCACCTTCAAAATAACCTTTCTCTAGTCCTAATCCTTTGCATATCATATCCAAAATCTTGTAAAGTAGCTTCCTTGTTTCTATTGAATACTCACTTACCACTTCTCTACAAAAAGAAAACAAACATAATTTACGTGTCTTAGTTTGATTGGATTTAGAAAACGAGAGATGGTAAAATTAGGTTATGAAAATATGATTGTGCATGGGTCAAGATTGAACGAGTTAATAACCCGCCTATTTAATTATTAACTCTGCCCATTTTGACCTGTACTCAATTCAGCTCATCTAATAGTTAGTTGATTAGAAAAAGAGACTAAGACTTCTGAAAATTTGTAGTCTAAAACATGTCATAACATTTCAGTTGGCTTTTGAAATATGTCATGTCATTTGTATGATTATAAAAGTTTCTCATTAATAATCAAATAGAAAAGTAAAGTTAATCGTTTTCAAATTCAAAAGTAATGTTGTTCTTTTAAAAACGTCTAATAAAGAAAAATGTATCACGCAAACTGAAACGAATATATATTACCTATACTTTGTGGGCTTATTTGGCCAAGTCATAATGTATTCCTCTAAAGGATAGCAATGATGAGTAAAATTATCTCTCCAATAGTGAAATTCTTCAGTATCATATGCTAATGTGCTTGAACATAACCTGCAGCTTTTGTTCATATCATTTGAGTAAAATTTTGCTTTGTATTCACCAGGTAATTTGAAGAACTCCTTGTATATATTCATTGTATCATCCATTAGATTTTCACATACTCCATGGTTTATCACCTGATCATCATAATATGTAAAAAAAAACATAATATAATTAAGTACTCGTTCATCCTTAATTAGAAACTTCAGATATGAGGTCTTTTTTTTTTTTTTGTAAGGAGTGCTTTATCTCCCAAAATTGAACTTTTTTTTATCACAAAAGGTGGATTTACCTTGCCCCAAAGGTGTCCCGGAATATTGTTTCGTCAGATATTTACTAAATATGTATATATGACAAATGATTTTCTTGAGTCAAGGGTATATTAGAAACAATCTCTCTAATACCACATAAAGGTAGATATAAAGTTTGTATACATTGTATACCTTACTAGTGTAGAACTATACTGAATATGTTGTTATATGTACTATAATGTAGATAATTAGCAAAGTAAAAATATTGAATATATATACTATACTACTACTCTACTTATATAGTAATATATATAAGAGTCACACGGAGCCAAAATCAAACGTGTTTTTCATAGTTCAAACTAGAGAAAAAAGTTCATTTCTTTCATGTTATATTTTGTGTACACACTTTATCAATTCTGAAATGAGATTATCAAAGCAATCTTAAAACTCTAGATTTTAAAAAATACTCAATGACTGAAACAGTAATTTACAAAAAAAAATAATCTGCACACGCCACTGTCCGATCACAAAATAATATTCTTAACTATTAATTGTACCTGAAATATTCCAAATTTTTGACATGCTTTAATAACTTGTTGAATTGTATCAGTTGGATGATTATTAGCCAAATCTATGAGTGGTATATCATGGCAAACAGGAAATTCAATTTTTCCTGGTCTTCTTTCTAGTGGAAAAATATATTTTTTAGGTACAAATTCAACATTTGACCAATTTGAAATCAAGATTTCCATTATTTTTCTTGGATTTTGTTGTGTTTGATTTATTTGTACATAGATAATGATCTTGTATAAATAACAGAAAAAAAAAGAAATTGCATTGAGGAATATTATACTATATATTCATCAATTCTACTTGTCAATTCAGTATTCGATATCTATATTAGAGTTCGATTAAATTAAAGGGGGAGACACTTCCAATATATTTGATCTCTTCAATTGTCCTCTTGCCTATTCCTTTGTCATCAAATGGGGGACCAAAATCTCTCTTTATCCTTTATAATAATTATACATTAAAAATAAAATATAATATTAAGCATACGTAATATAATCAAATATTCAAAAAGATAATTCAAAGCACTAAAATATATAGTACATAATGATTAAATACATACATTTTTTCTTAAGTAAAATAATAATAATGATAATATATACAAACAAATGATTTTGCTGTTTTTAATTACTCAAGAGACTGTACTATGTAGGCACACAAATAATTTTGTTGTTTTTAATTAAGGGATAGTACTATATATATTAAAAAAGAAAAAAAAGAGATTTAATTTTCAATATGTGAGGTCAAGGCCATTGTCAAATATCAAGCTGGACAAAACTTATGATTAACGGTTTATTAAATTAAAAATAAATTTGAATTATTAAATAAGAGATAAAATCTAAATTTGGATAAAATAAAATAACTTATGAATTCTAATCAAGAAAAAAATATACTTTTATGTTGTCGATGAGACGAATCGATCTAGGATTATGAACTATCTAATAATCATATTATGTTCCTCAATTAATTTAACTAATTGATTTATCTGATTTATTGATTTACATGATTAATTTTACTTGCAATTTACTATCGAATAGTTATGCGTTTATTCATATTAGGGAAAATTGTATATAATAACAAACTATTAATTCAAATTAAATACTATAAATATAGTTTGATTTAATTGTACCCCATAGCAAACTGTTGCTATTTCGCCTCTCTCCTGGTGAATCTCGCTCGCAAGTTCTCTCCCTCGCCTCTCTCGCTTTTTATACAAACGCAAATGTATAAAATGTGTTTGTGTTTGTATAAAGCGAGAGAAAATTGTATATATACATATATTTTCGTTCCTCTCTCTCCCCTCTCCTAGATCTCGCTCGCCACTCTCCCAGATCTCGCTCTCTCACTCGCCTCTCTCACTTTATACAAAAACGCAAATGTATAAAATGCGTTTGTGTTTGTATAAATTGAGAGAAAATTGTATATATACATATATTTTCGTTCCCCTCTCCCAGATCTCGCTCGCTCCCTCGCCTCTCTCACTTTATACAAACACAAATGTATACATTGTGTTTGTGTTTGTATAAAGTGGAAGAAAATTATATATACAAATACAAATGCATATATTTTTGTCCTACACACTTGTGATTATACAAATATGATCTTCCCCTGCCCAGTTTTCTTTTGTCTTTTGTCTTTCTCTCTTTCTCGCTTTATACAAACACAGATTATACAATTGATCTTATGTATACCAAAGCAAATTATACAACTGCTTTCTTTTGTATATGTATAGCGAAATTATACAACTGCTTTCTTTTGTATATGTATAGCGAAATATACATATTTTTGTTTGCTATGGAGCGTAATTATGCAAACTATAGTTATAGCACAAATATGATTTTTGTGTTTGCTATATGTGAAAGTTGCTCTTCATATTAACCTAATTATCTATGTCTAGCATAATAGAATTAACGAAAGTGAATTTTACATCTCATGTATAGAAATCAAGTGATGTAATAAGATACGTCTAGAATAAGAAGTTTAACTCTAGATAGACATGAAGAAAATACAACAAATCATCCAAAAAAAATATGAAAACAAATAATATGAAGAAAAAAAAATAAAACTCAATTATCTCTGGTCTTCGTCAGCTCTTAGCTCTTTCTCTACATAAAAATATATCTTCCAAAATATATTATAAACTACTTATAGATTAGGAAAATCCCAACCAAAATAACTGAATTAAAAAAAAAAGTTGAAAAAAATCAGATTTGCTTTGCTCTCTTTACTTGTCTTCTTTCCCTTTTTCTTTGTCTTCAAATAGGGACCAATACAATCAATACTCAAAAAATGATTAAAAATATTAAATATACATAAGTAATGACTAAATTAAATATTTATTTTTTTTCAAAACATTAATAATAGTAATATATACAAGCAAATGGATTTTATTGTTTTTAATTTAGAGATAGTACTATGTAAGCAAATAAATGATTTTGTCATTAATAATTAAGGGGTGGTACTACAAATACAAAAAATGAGATTTCATTTTCAATATGTGAGGACAAAACCATTGTTAAAGAGCATCTTACTTCTAGATTCCTTGAGTTATAATAAAAGAAAATTTCAATTTACCTAGGCCTAAGTGACTCTCGAAAGTCGTTTTTTTAATGGTAGGATGGTCAATGCCTAGGGGGTACTAAATTGTGAGTATGAAAGAAACATTAAACTTGAAATATCACGTATGGAGCTTATTTTTCTTATTTTAAAATAGAAAGTCATTTTCCTAAATAAAGAAGGAGAGTAAATGAATAGTCATAGGATGAAGTAATTCAAGTGATAAAAATTTTAATTGTGACGTTTTGTAAGAATGTCCAAATGACGAATAGTTTAAATCATTGAAGAGTAAACTCGATGAACTACAATTTGAACATATTATCAATTCAATGAAAAAAAATTAAATTGATAGTCAATTTACACGTTATTTTTAAGTTATAGCCCATTTTCCCAAGTTATTTAAGTTATAGCGGTATTTAAAAATCTTCAAATAAAAGAGGTTGATGCTCATCCTCCTTCTTCAACTTCAATCACATATGTTTTTAGTCTCGTATGTATAAAGTTCAAACATAAATGTATGAAGTTTGGATTCGGGTAATCTTAAGTCACATATGTTTAAAGTTTGTTACTTATGATATTTTGTCTGAAATTAGATTTTACAAGTCTAACGTCAAATCTATATATGTGTATATATAAAGTTTGTAATTCTAGATGTGAGTTTTTTCAAGTTCAGTTTGATAATTCTGAAGTTAATTCTAAGGCAGATAAACTTATAAAAAATTATATACTTCGAATATGGCTTAAATAGCGATCCTCAAATCAATCATGTATCCCATGGTCAAACCATTGAAATCTAGCCCATTATTTTGGGCTTAGTTCAAGAGATCCTAGTGGGACAGAGAAATCTAAGTGGGCAATGCAATGCTTGGATTATACACACACAAAAAAAAAGATATTGACTTTGATGATATACAAAAAAAAAAAAATGTCGCATAAGATGCATGTATAGAATTATTCAAGTTTATACAAGTGTCGTACATCCAAACTAATACGTTTATGAATTGTGAGTATTTTTTTTTAAAAAAAGATGCACCCCTCAAGACTAATCCTTATTAGGTAGAAGAGCTCATTTAGTTACTAGTGGGACTTGTTTATCTACTTTCGCTAGGAAAGTCATTTTTCTCATTTTTAAGGAGTTTTTTTCTAGAGAAAATATTTTTTGAATATTTTAACCAATTGAACATGAAAAATTAACAAAAATATTTTTCTCCTTACCGAACACATCCTTTGTGTTTTATTATATAGTATATCACAATTTTTTACATGAGCCAAGACTAGATACAACATAAAGGGGAGCTCTTCTCTTAGATACAAAAACAAACCACACATCATCATATTCTTTTGACAAATTTCTCCAATTATATGACCATATATAGTACCACACACCATATTATATTTTACAACAATCTTTTTTTTTCTTCAAATAATTAAAAGCTAAGGTTTGCTCCTAAAATGGTTGAGGGCAAGTTGAGCATCAAATTTAGCCGGACCAACAAATGCTTCAAGGAATTCTGGATAAGCAAAGGCTCTAAACACTGATTCAGTGTGAATTAAAGCAGTAGCTGGTTTTATTAAAAACTCGGGTGACGGACCGAGAAATACACCAATTGTGGTTCGAGCCTCTTTTGGGTGTGTAACAACCCGATGAACCGGAGTCATGAACCTGTCATTGCTTATTACCTGCATTAAAATAATAATAAAAAACTCACGACTTGCTTTGTATTCTATTTTCGTCATTCATACTTTTTAATGTAAAAAGAAGTTTTAAATTTATAATAGTCGTTAAAGGGCATGATCTCGATTATATTAACAGAAAAAAAAATATTAACATTTTTTTCTACCTAATATTTATCGATTACTTATTATTGTTTAAACACTTGATATTTAAATGGGGGCTAAGTAGTCAAATGGGCTCTTAGGGTGTGTTTGGTAAGAGGAAAAGCATTTTTAAAAGAAATATGTTCTAATTTCATCATATTAAAAAATAATTTTATCTCTAGAACAATAAGTCCTTTAAAAGTCATAAAAAATATTTTCCTGATAGAAAAAAAAAATCATAAATAATATTTTATGTTGATTATTTCCTCCCCCCCCCCCCCCCCCCTACAAAAATGATTTCTCCGATGAAATATAAAAAACAAGTTCCACAACTAGGATTTTAAGTTGATTGTCTTCCCTTTCACCTACACCCCCACCCCCACTTCCCTCTCCACCCAACCATTGCACCTTCATCCTTATGATATTTGTCTAAAGTATATATAAATATTTTAGACTGTATTTCTTCTTTACTTACCAAATCAAAAAATAAATAAGTCACATATTTTATCGAAAAACATTTTCTTTCATACCAAACATATCCTTAATTCTGTTATATTTGATCATAATTAACCTCCAAAAGATGCAATCATAGAAAATTAGTAATACCTTCAATTGTAGACCAGGGATAACAATTAGAGTATGAGGAATATGTTTAACACCAATCCATTGTCCATCCTTAAGTATTTGAAGTCCAGGAACTTCACCTTGTTGAAGCATTGTTATGAGATTTGGATCAGAATGTACTGGCATTCCTAGTGTTAAACTTGGATTTGGACATGGAATATGATGATTAACAGATATCAAATGT